GAGCGGTGAGAATGCTTTCATTTCTGGTAAACAGTTCTGTAGGATTATCGTCTGTTTGAGAACAAAACCAGAGTTGAAGACAGGAAATCTGTGTCTGCAGGAGGTCTAATGAACATATTACTAACTCTGAGATAAAGACTCAAGTCATGCAACAACAGTGTGGCACACACATGCATGCCCACTGTAAAATGAAAAAGTTCAACCTTTCTATGAAGTGATGTTTTTATTATTTTTTACTGCAGCCCGCTCACTTGCTGCGTCCATGCGGAGCAGCTTTGTCTTCTCGCAGCCCTTATCTCAAACGGCTCTTGTGATGTTGAGATGATTGTTTAACAGCCAAACCACCACGACTGTAAAAACTCTTCCAGCGTCTGTGTTTGAAATCTGGCAGCAGCCGACGCTTCGCTGCAGGCGGCGATTTCAAGCAGATCCAGGCAGAGTGTGCAGAAAAAAGTTCCAGAGAAAGCTCTCTGAATGATAATGAAGGAGGATTGTTTTCCTGCCAGTTTGGTGTCTTTTCGAGCAGCTGTTTATGGAGCCAGAAGAAAGTTTGAATCTGGAGGAGATATCCAACAAACAAATTAAGAAGAGGAAACATGTGAGTGATGTGGATCTGTTGAAGGACATTCGTATGTGGAGACAAAAAATAACTGAGGAAAAGTTAAATTCTGAATTTACCACCAGGAAGAAAAGTCCTATAACCCTTCTCACTGACTCGTTATAAAAGTAGTTTCTCACTTTGAGCAGATTGTAGTGACGGTAGGAAATGTTTGTAAGAGGAGGTTTTTTTTATTGCCCTAATCCTCCCCACAGGCAGGAGGAGAGTTATAAATTCAGACTGTTGACACTTTGATGCACCTGAGCTTCATTAAAACCAGCACAGATAATCCACTACAGCACATCTCTACTCTGTTAGACACAGGGCCGTCTCCAGGCTTTATCAGGGCCGTCTCCAGGCTTTATCAGGACCGTCTCCAGGCTTTATCAGGGCCGTCTCCAGGCTTTATCAGGGCCGTCTCCAGGCTTTATCAGGGCCGTCTCCAGGCTTTATCAGGGCCGTCTCCAGGCTTTATCAGGGCCGTCTCAAGGCTTTATCAGGACCGTCTCCACGCTTTATCAGGGCCGTCTCCAGGCTTTATCAGGACCGTCTCCAGGCTTTATCAGGACCGTCTCCAGGATTTATCAGGACCGTCTCCAGGCTTTATCAGGGCCGTCTCCAGGCTTTATCAGGGCCGTCTCCAGGCTTTATCAGGACCGTCTCCAGGCTTTATCAGGGCCGTCTCCAGGCTTTATCAGGTACATCTCCAGGATTTATCAGGACCATCCCCACTTACTATTGTAGGCAAACACGACTTTATAACATGTAGGCTAGGAGGGGGAAACACACAACTTTGAGAAATGAGGTCTTGTTGAGCGGTAGCTTTGCTAAGTTGGCTGCCCGGCTACCGGCACCGTTGCCCGGCTTGAGTAGGCTACGGGACTTCCGTCTGCCAGGATTTTGTACTTGTCAGGCCCGGGGCAGAGGGCTCTCTGTGGGTGAAGTGTCAGTGTTTGATGACAGGGAGTAATGTTAAACTGTAGCAAAGAGATGAGTAGCGAGTTCAACCCGCACACCGGGGATGGCGAAAGAGCGAAGTGTCAGGCTGGTAAAGCGGGTGCAGAGGGATGAGTTGGAGCTGGAGCTCATAGCGCCAGAGCTAGCACTAGCTCCAGTCCGGTCAGACTCGCTTTAATCTCTGCGTTTCAGTAACATTGAAGTTATCCTGTGTCTTTCAACGATACAACTTCCCTATCTAAACATAACTTTCTGATCCTAGCTGTCTCTCTTACTCTCACTTGTAAATAAACAGAAATAAACTGTTCCACAGCGCCCCTACAGGCCTGGAGCGCTTCTGTTTAAGGCTGAACTTGCAGCGTTTCTGTGTTTGCAGTTGTTTTCTGGCTGTGTGTGGTTTGACTTACGTTTCGATTCTGTATTTGCAGCGCGTTTGATGCTTATGCAGTTGTTTTGCCTATTTGCAGCGCGTTTGTTTCTTTTGCAGCGCATTTCAGCCTTTGCATTTGTTGTGGTAGTTTGCATTTGCTTTTGAATGTGCAGAATTTCTATATATGCTGCGCGTTTTTCTATATGTATGTCATTTCATCAGTTGCTGAGCGTTTGACCCCTACCAGCCACCATAGTAGGGGGCCCCTGTGGGCTCACAAACTTAAACCAAAGCAGTGGCTCAGAATGTGCAAATTTTGAAATGACAGTAGGGGCCCCATCTGACAGCACTTATTCTCGCTGCCCTTGCCTACATTATTGGTGTGAAAACCAAAGTTTGTCAAAGTCAACAAAGATAAATTGAGAGTAATTATCCGTCTATAGGAGCGAAAAGACCAGGCTGGCAGACATAATGGTGATAAACGCTGGATGGAGCCCCCCCCAATTGATTTTTGCCTAGGGCCCCAACAGACTCTAGAACTGCCCCTGGTCTTGAGACCAAGTGGCAACCTCAGGGGTATAAAAAAATTATGAAGCCAATGCGGAAATACACAAACCTGCAGTTCCTCATGTGTCCACTTGAGGTTGTCTCAAAGGCCCATGAAGTCACATACACACCCGTTCAAAACTTCCTGTTCTTACAGCAGAGATAAACATGTTTAGTGGCTGGTTCTAAAAACAGCCGACCCTCCACCACACATTTCTTTCTAACAATACGACAGGCTTCCCTCCTGTTTCTGTCTGTGCAGTACACGTACTTATATAATAATAATCAAAAAGTACACGAGAAAAACTCTGATCTGCCCACCCTCACATTTAAAAAAAAACTAGCAGGGTGTCTGTTTTCCCTCTCACAGCTGTGACAGAGGAGGAATTTACACTTCATGCTTTTTACTCAGGGTTAAATGAATGTTGTTCTGTTATTGTCAAATCACCTGATACGTCATAAGAATCTGGTCAATCTGATAGATTAGATGATGTCTGAACTATCAGAACGTTACGCTGGAACATATGGAGGACTAAACAAAGCTGAAATATGCAGACTATTAGATGAATTAAATCAAATCAAACAACATATATCTTCAGAGGGGGGTCTGCAAGCTGACATTAACACAATGGGTTTGCAGATTTTTACTTCAGCACAAACAGAGTTCTTTAACTTAAAATTGTTTGTTTTGACAAGTTTAGAAAATGTCATTTGAGAAGCCTGTTCTGTTACACAGATGTAAGTCGGTGATGTTGCATTGTGGGTAATGTAAGCTCCAGGTTTTGAGATAATTTAGAATTAAAAAAGATGACATTTACTTCTCTCAATGTTGGTCAAATTCTCCTCATTCCTTTCATAACCTCGTATTTTTAAGGGGCTTGTGGCCACATGGGGGCAGCAGACACAAGCTACTCCTGACGTCTGAGATATTATTTCCTTAAAAAGTGGGAATGTTGAGCTTTACCAAACATCTGTTTATCTTAAGAGATGATTATGGATGTTTGGAATAAAAAAAAACCACTTTGAAAGTATTTATGAAAGTACACCTTATACGACCTCTTTTTACAACAGACTGTATAAAACATGGACGTAGCCTCCACGATGTCACCCTTTGGTTTCTAATGAGGCGCTGTGAACTGAACTATGGTGGTGGCCATATTGGAAATGCTGCGGTAACTTTCAATTCATCTAGAAACAGCAAAGAGGGGACCTGAGGCGGCCACAGCTACACAGCACTCACCTGTCAGTCCATTCAGACACACCCCTAATTATGCAAATGCATGACCAACTCTTAGCCGTAATGTACTCAAGAAGGATGAGTTGAAACATAAACTCATCCCCCCCATAACCCTTAAAGGAGCAATATGTAACTCTGACACCTAGTGTTTAAAATTGGTAGTGCAGTCTAAATTCTAAACATTGTAGAGAGCTGTCTCCCCCCGCCCCCTCCTCTCTAGAGTCCATGCTCACGCAGGTCACCATGTGGTGGACACTGAAGCTTCAGTGTTTATCCAGCTCTGCATCGGTCTATAAACCTTTCTGTGTTCTAACCTCTCTCCATTTTTCAAAAGCATCTCCAATATTGATCCTAGTTTGAGCACGTTTCTGCTCGTGGAGCTTATTAGAAACATGCAGAGGCTTTTTAGGTCGGGTACAATCACTTCTTTCTGAACCACTTCTCTTGCCCGCTTGCATCGCTGCAACACCTGTTGGTTTGACCTGATAACTGCTCTCATATCTGGCAAACCGAGGGGCGTCCAAAACGGCCGTGTGGGGGTGCCTTCAAACCGCCTACCTTCTCTGGTCCAAACAAATCCAGAGCATTCAGGACCAGAATCTAAAGTTTGAAGGAGGACATACTGGCTGCTGCATTGTTGTCAGAGAAGCCAGCACTTCAACATAGCATGTTTCCTTAATGTCTGATCATATAGTAAGCTCACTTCATCATTTCACTCACTACACATCTCACTGATTGGACCTTTAAGAAATTAGCTATTAGGTTGCAGATTAGATGCAACAGGTGTTTAGTAGTTTTTCTGCCCTGGGTTTGTGCTGTCAGGCTGACCTTCATTTAGGTGAAGGTTATTATAGCTCTAAAAGGATGCCTGCAGACATGATTTAGGGTTTCAAAAACAAACATGATTCTGAAGAGATGCTGACGCTGAGAGATGCTGTAAATTTGAAAACACAGATTTTCGAAGAACACCATAACCTTTTTTCCCACCAAAGCTGCGCTCGTGACTGAACTGTTGTGAAAACACGAGCATTTTAAATGAATTTAGACTCGTTCGCTTTGATGCTGCCTCGCGCTGCATCACCCCAGGTCATCATGTTGAGTCCGTGCACGCGCGTTTTGCTTGCTAGACACCTGGTGAGAGAGAGACTCCTCCGACGCTGACACACGCCTTCAGTGTGTATCTAAAAGTGTGTGTTTGTGTGTGTGTGTGTGAGAGAGAGAGAGGAGGGGAGAGAGTGAGAAAGGGGGAAGGAGGAGGTTTCTAGGTTTTCCTCAGTGGTCGCACGCGCTCGGTTTGCTGAAGGAGCCACAAACGGACGCGCGAGAAAGCTGGAGTGGATAAGGAGCGACATTTGAGGGAGACTCGCGTGCCATTACGCACCAGGCTGCTCCGATGTGGAGCTAATCGATCCAACTAACCCTCATCATCATCATTATTGTGATTTATATTCCAATACGTGTTTATGTGAGTGGACAGAAGAGGAGCGCGTCACGGTCATACCGAGCACCGGGGAAAGTTGGAGTACAGCGGGACGAAGCAGCGGGATGTTTAACGCGTGAAAAGCTGCAGGAAAGTGTTTGTTTCTCCGCTCTTGGACCGGATGCTCTGTGGATACTCGGTCACGCGCTGCTGCACCGGAACATGCGGCCGTTACCGGACTCTGTGAGCTCCTCTCGGGTCCAGGATCCCCGCTAACACCGTCTCCTGGGGTTTGTTCGTGCCTTCTCCGTCATGCCGGCGGCAGTTTCACTGGTTTCCAGCGCAGAAAGAGAGATAGGTAGTGAGTGAGAGACACCGAGAGAGCGCGTGAGAGAGAGAAAGAGAGAGAGGCACGCGGGAGTGAACCGGACCGGACCGCGCGGGAAACCGTTTTTAGTCTGACTCTGGGGATTACAGCTGCACGCGACATGATCCTGATCACTCTCATCACTTTGGTGTCTCTGCTGGGTAAGTACACCCGCACACACCCGGGAACACACGCGCACACACACACTCACACACACTGACAGGTGAGCGCAGAGGGTCTACGGGCGGACCAGGTGGGCTCTCTGTTCTCATTTAATCATTTTGGCTCCGAGGGGGGTGCTGCAATTCCACCCCCCCCCCTCTTCGCCCACATTTCCTTTTCCTTGACCCTCACATCCCCCCCCCCCCCCTCTCTCTCTCCCCCCGCTTGTGCGTCCGTGTGTGTCCTTTTATCATTCCGGTTAAGGAGCACGAGCCACATTAACCGCACGTTCAGATGCTGCTCCGTGTTGTAAATGAATCTTTCTCGAGTTCCTCCTAAAACCATAAATCCTGCTTTTTTTAATTTGTTCACCTGTTCAATGTAAATTAAAGTGTGTGTGTGTGTGTGTGTGTGTGTGTGTGTGTGTGTGTGTGTGTGTGTGCGTGCGTGTGTGTGTGTGTGTGTGTGTGTGCGTGTGTAACAGAGGTTGTACAGCAGAGGTAGAATTGTCCTCTTCCTAAAATACTCCAATCTTCAGTTTACTGCCATTTAAAAAGAAGCTAAAGCATTAAAAAGTCTCCTGTGACGTCATCATCTACCTGTTGTATTAATCAATCATCATTAGTGACGCTTTTATGTGACATATTAATCACTGAATTGATGATTTCTGAGCCTGATATCAGTTTTTATTTGTGACCTGGAGTTGTATGTGATTGGACCTTTGTGTCTGAACAACATGAAAGGAAAACAGCCACTTATAATTTTATTTATCAACTATTAAATGTTATTTTTACACTTTGAGTAAAATAATAAGTCGTTTGGTCTGTGAAAAATCAGGAGATGGGGAAAAATGTCAAATAAATGACATCATGGAAAGACAATCACTGCAGAGTCATCGACGAGAAAATAAACCAGAAAATATATTTCTTACATTCTTACATTCTTACAGTCACAGACGTATCTTTGAATGAAGCTCTAATGTTAATAAAGTATCTGACAGTTTAAATAATCTGAAACGATTTAATAAAAAATAAAATCAAGTAAGAAATGGATTTATCCCTAAAATCTTCCATTAATAAACGCTAATGACCAAATACAATACATGAAAAAAACAGATGCATCACTGCCTTCTGGTGGAGAAACGACGGAATGACGACATGTTTTCAGTTTTTATTTTCCATTTTTCGCTGATACATAAACCGATAAATCTGCACTAACCTGGAACCTGCTCCAGGTTGCTTTTTAATATCGCAGCTGGTTACCTTGGAACTAATGAAAAATGAAGCTGATGTTGAAGTGTAAAATCCTGCAGTTCCTCGAGTGTCCACTAGAGGCCGGCTGCAGAAGTACAGGAAGTCACATACACACCCATTCTAAAAAGCCTGTTTTTTACAGCAGAGATTAAGAGATTAACTGTTTACAGCCTGGTTCAAAAAAACAAAAAAAAGCTCATGTCTCGATCGACACACACTGTACGGGGGGGTGAATGTTTTGATGACTCATCAGTTTTGATTTGATGAAGGATAAGAGTTATTCACAATAAGGCGTGTAGCTGACATGATTGACAGGAGGGTGAGATGTAACAGTTTGTCAGGAGGTTTAAAACCCGCCTCAGCTCCAGCTCTCAGTCTGTCGTTAGGTTGACTGAAAGTTAGTCTGAGACAGCATTTCCAGCATGGAGACCACCATCGATGGGACTCCAGCGCCCCCTGCAGGAACAGATGGGTGACGTCATTTAGGCTTCAAACATTAATAATTAAAGTATAGGTGAATCAGTACCGACGCTTCTGTTCACACCACACAGATCAGAGCCAATCAGACAGGCCCGTCCCCATCAGACAAATGGATTGAAAACAACGAAGAAAAGAACAAGCTTTTATTTTGGTAATGTCCTGTCGCTGCCTTGGTCTTGGTCTTGGTCTTGACTCGGTCTTGATCCCTACATGTCTTGCTCTTGTCTTGGTCTCAGAGAGCCCTGGTCTTGGGTGTGTCTTGGTCTCTGTTAGTGTGGTCTTGACTACAACACTATTAAGAACCCTTATTTTTTTTATTGTTAAGGATCATTATCCTCAGGAGAAACTCATTATGAAAGGAAAAAAGTTCAAATAAAAATAAATTGGCAGATTCTGATATCATCAAAAACCTAGACACAGACGCATGATTATCTTATGTCTTCAATAAAGTCGTATTATTTGATTTTCTTCTGTTGTTTATGACCTGGAATGAGTTAGAAATCATTTCAACATGTGTGTTAAAATGATAAATACTCAATCGTATGTAGATATGCCTGTGAGTTTGTGTCTTTGTATTAATGTGTAAGTGTTACAGAAAAGCAGAAACAGAAGAAGCAGCTTCTTTTAAAGGTCCTTAAATCCCTCTCCATCAGAGGCTGTCATGTTGAGTCTTCAGCTGGGCTGCGGTGCTGTCCATGGTCCTGAAACCTGCTGCCTCCAGAGGGAGCAGCTCTCTTATTCCTCTCTCTGTCCTCAGAGCTCTTATTTTGAAAAGCCTGTCATAAATGAGCCCTTAAAGCTGCTCCAGAATCAGTTTGTGTCATGAGTGGGTTCTGAGGTTAAACATGGTTTAAGTCAGAAACGGAGGACTGATTTGTTGCAACAACATGAGTGTTTACACAATGTGATGGATGTACCAGGTAGCTAACAGTTAGCTTGAGCATCATGTTTGTTTACTCTTACTCTCTTCTGAGAGACTCTGGTTGTTGGTTGAATGAATCGGTTAGTGTGTGGCGTGCTGAGTCAGTCGCCTAGTTGCTCTCCACACACGATAAGAACTGAACTGTTCTTCCGTCAGGATCTGTCGTCATGTGTCGGCTCTCTCACATTTTACAAATCCTTTAAGATTTAAAAAAATCTTTGAGTGTGTGCCAGGCCTTATCGTGACTGCGAGCATCGGGCTCAGGTGATTGGACAGCCACGCCTACACAAACCTTCAACAAGAGAAAGAGGCCTCCACTCAGTGACAATATGAAGTTCCCATCAGATGAGTGTCTAAGACCATCTGCAGACTCATGATGATGATGATGATGATGATGATGATGATGATAACTTCAGTGTCTCTTAATGAGATCTGTTGACATTTAAAGAGAAGGAACGGATTAAATGAAATGTTTCTGTAGCCGACAATTCAAGCTGTTTAATGTTAACTGCAGTGTGTTTAAAAATCACTCGCTCAGACTGGAATACTGAGCAGATTGAACGAGCCGGTCATCATTTGATGCTTCCTGTGACATCATGAGATGGTGGTCATGGTGCAGCTCTGAAGAGGAACCTTTGAGGGAGGAACCTTTGAGTGAGGAACCTTTGAGGAAGGAACATTCTAGACAGGAACCTTTGAGAGGAACCTTTGAGAGAACTCTGAGGGGGAACGGGTTAGTTTGAGACAAACTGGAGGATGAAAATAACAAAGAGGACGAGGTCAGTGTTGCGGGTTCTGTTTCCATGGTAACAGAGGTCAGGCTTAAATACATAATACAAATTTTGTCAGGACTGAATTAAATGATTATATAATTTTGCTCAGACTTTGCAGCTAGGATTTATTTTAAAAGGTGTGCCAAAGTTTGCTTAGATTTTAGCAATTTGCGTCGGTTTCCCAGAGCCGTAGTAGTTTCCGTGTTGTTGTCTAGGCTGAGTTGCATCGTGGGTAATGTAGGCACAAGCTTTTGAGATCAAGCAGGGTTGAAAATAAAACACGTTACTGTTAATGATGTTGTGATGAATCTGTGGAGCACTCCTTTAACAAAGTGTGAATTAATGATGCTCTAACATGAACAATACGCGAACATATGCTGTGCTTCCCCTCATGTTAAATAGCATGTCTTTTTTGGCCACTTGGGGGCGGCAAAAACACGTTTTAACGCCACGTCTGACATATTATCACCCAATCCAGTCTTTACATATAAAACAGCAGGTGAGCTTGAAGTTAGGTTCTGCTTTGTTGAATAAAGGTTAGACTTTGATTGACCCTTTGTCTGCTCTCTCATTGGTCAGAAGACAACCAATCAGAAAGCAGACGGAGGGGTTTGAGAAACGCCCCAGGAGATCCGCACATTCCTTATCCTTCCCACCAAGTTTTCAGCTGCCTGTTTGGCTCCTATTGGTTGTTTAAAATGTCATCAAACATAATTTGTACAAGATGAGACTAAAAACCTGCGATAACATTACACATTTGATTTTATCATAACGCCAAGGCAAGAAACAGACTGCCTTCAAACAGCTCGGGTTGAGTTTGATGACCACTTTACACCAGATGATGGAGATAATGTCAGAGCACCATAACTCTTAAAAAAATAAAAATAAAGAAGGATTTTATTCCCTCTTTGAACATTTGACTGTGACTTTAAAATCCCCTGAGACGTGGTTTTGTTTAAGCACGAGTCTCATTCTGTCGACAGAAGCTGCTAAAATGATCATCACATCAGGTCTCTGTTAAATCTCCAGAGACACTTTGATAAACTACATCTCCCAGACTTCATCTGTTAGGGTTCGGTCAGACTCGGGGACACTTTCCTCTTGGAGTCAAATTTGTATTTATTTTGAAAACTGTGGGAGAACGGAGTGGCTGATAAATGTTTCTCTCTGTGTCCTTGTTTCCTCTCGATCCCTGCAGGGACGTTTACAGAGTCACAGCGAGAATGTTTAATGGAAAAACACAAGAATCACCTTTCAAGCTTGACTGATGAACGACCGATTCCATGCTTACAGTTTTCAGAAGAATAAAATGAAAACCTCCAGCACGTAAAGATCCACAACTCCTCATCTGTGTGTGTGAAAGTGTCCGACTGTCACGGGGCAGCTTGTTGTTGCAGCTCTGACACGTGTTGTTCCTTAGTGTCTTTAACAATGTTCCCTCACTCCTTGCTCCTAGCTCCTCACTCTTTGCTCGTGGCTCTTCTCTCCTCACTTCACTCCTCATTCCTCTCTCCTTGTCCTAGCTCCTAGGTTCTTGCTCGTGGCTCTTCACTCCTCACTCCTCACTCCTCACTCCTCACTCCTCACTCCTCATTCCTCACTCCTCACTCCTAGCTCCTAGCGCTTCACCCCTTATACCTCACTCCTAACTCCTAATTTCTCATTCCTCACTCCTCGATCCTCGCTCCTAGCTCCTAGCTCCTAGCTCTTCACTCCTCGCTCCTCTATCCTTGTTCCTCACTCCTCACTCTTCATTCCTCAGTCAAATCAGAAGTAGCTCCTTATGTCGAGGAGAGAGGAGGGAGATCTGATGAGCGAGGATAACGGAGAGCAGCCATCATAGTGAAGTTGTTTTTACTGACAGACACGCCCCCTTATTGGATATCACTTAGTGATTGGACACTGCAGCGGATCGGACTCCATTAAAGAGTCACAGCATGTTCAGAGTTTAACAACGGAGACAAAATGGACCTGGCGTGAACTGAAATATTCAGAGTTCAGCAGTTCATGAAGGAGCCCAAAGTCCTCTGTCATCACAGCTTCATTTCTGCGTGTAACGACTCCTTCCTGTATTCATCAAACAGGAAGTTCTCCAACAGAGTTCAAGGAAAAATTCACAAAGGATGTTTCCTCGCCGGCGGGAGTATTTTTATTGAATAGTTTTCTTCCAAGAGTTTTTCAAAGAACTGCGGAGAGAAAGACCCAATGCCTGAAAACAATAAAACGCCATGCGATGGTTCAGGCAGTCGAGATCCTGCAGGACTCAGATGAAGATAAAATCTCTGGTTTCCATTTATTGATTACTGCCGCAGCTCTCGATGAAGTGATCAGAGGAGATGTTTTTATTTGATGAATAATTCTGTCACACAGCCGAGGCTCAGAGTGTCCTCTCAGGTCTTTTTTGATTGTTTCTAAAACATGGATGACATGTTGAATGATAAACACACGGGTTAGAGCTCTTAGGAGCTCACACCGCCTCACTCCATATGTGGCTAGTTAGCAGCTACTTTTAGCCTCAGGGTGTTTGTGAAAGCGACCCCTGATCGCTGACTGACAGGTCCATCGTCAGATTTGAAACCTGCCGTATCAGCGAGTCCTTTTGAACGTGTCCTCGTGTCTGAGCGGCTCCACCGTCCTGATGAGAGAAGAGTCGACAAAAACCTTCAAACGTTTCTCTGAGTCTCCGTCAGTGTTTGCTGTTCACTCGGAGAGTGTTGCCCCGAGTTTCACCTCGCAGGCTATTAAATATGGAGCCATAGGCGTGCATGGAGAAGAGCTATATCTGCAAAATACAAAATGGAAATCAATGTAGAAACATAAAAAGGAATGCATTGAAAATGAAAATCCAAGAGGTTCTGTAAATGTTGTTTTAGTGCATGTTTGTTTTTACAGTAAACTGTAAACTTCACATCATCGGAGGGTTCAGATCAGAACGCTCCAGCACAGTTGTAGTATCAAGATGAACTTTTTTAACGTCATCAGACAGACACGTTTCACCTTGTGCAGGGGCGGGGCCTTCATCAGGGTCATCCATGGGGACGACGATGACCCTGATGAAGGCCCCGCCGCTGGATAAGCCGAAACGTGTCGGCCTATCAAAGTTTCTAAAGTTGATTTTCATTCTATCAATACAATACTTTTATTGTTCTTTATGCTTGTATATCAAAGTAAGGTGCTATATGAATAAAGTTATTATTAAATAGACACAATGAGCCTCATTAGCATCTCCTCTCTCTCTCTCTCCAGATGTGTGCGTCTGCGACTCAGAGCTGGGCTCCCCCGGCTGGAGGGAACCTCTGGACTGCGTCCGAGCGTCTGAGCTGTGTAACCAGAACAGCCAGTGCAGCTCCCGGTACCGGATCATGCGCCAGTGCCTCTCGGGAGGGGACAAGGAGCGCAGCGCCATGCTGGCCTCCAAGGAGTGCCAGGGGGCGCTGGAGGTGCTGCAGGACTCTCCGCTGTACGACTGTCGCTGCAAGAGGGGCATGAAGAAGGAGCTGCAGTGTCTGCAGAACTACTGGAGCATCCACATGGGTCTGACCGAGGGTAAGAGGCTCACACACGGCTCGCTGCACAGATAATTAAACCTCCTGCTGCTCGTTGATGCTGCGTCAGTGATGAGCTGAGAGCTGGCCGAGAACACAGAGCGACTTTTACAGAGATATTCATATGTTCAGAGCTCGGGGAGGCTCTTCATCGATTGTTGTGTTGGTGCCACTTTGAGTTCTGCCTCGAGTGTCAACAAGGGGCAAAGCAGCTGAGAACAGAAGGAATGTGAAGCTGTTGGTTTAACTTTCACTCTAAGTTTCTCAACCTCAGTGTGTTTCCATGCTTTGGAGATTTTTTTAAAAAGTGGAGCCAACGCTGAAGTTACCATCTTTACCACGGGCAATATATCTGAAGCGTCAGGTCTCACGTCTTGAAACTTCAGCTCAGATCGTAGACACTATAAGAAAATGGACCCCGTGTCTGAGAACAACTCTAACTTATGTCCAACAGGGGGCGATCTTTTAGGTCCAAAAATCTGTTTGATTATGTAGATGTTGATGATGAAAAGGTCTCAATCTGTATTTTGAAGTCTTCTTCATCACAGCATGATGCTCTTTAAGGTCCCATTTAGAGTCAAAGACACCAGAGTGGAAGGGGGGATTAGGGGCGGAGCTACATGGGATTCACAAGACGCTACATAGGAGAGCTGAAAATGTTTGAACAGTGATTTTTGATTCGATTTTTGCTCAGTATCTCAGTTGGTGTGGATTCAGCATTTTAGTTCCCCCCCCTCTGTACAGATCTCAGCTGTCTAGAGCACAATAAACCTGAAGCTCACAGCCAATCGTGTGTGCGTGAGTTGCTCTGTTGGTAATGGTAATGGTAATGCTTTTGGAAGCAGTGATCAAAATGTGTGGTTATAAAACACACGATATGTCTGCTGCATCTACTGTTCTCCTTTTGTAAACACAAGTCAGACCGTGTAACAGGAGGGTGCTGATGAATGGCTGACATGTGGAGGACACGCTAAACAGCATTTTGAGCTATTTGTTGTTGTTGTTGTTGTTGTTGTTGTTTTAATGTGCTGTGGGACTTTTAATAGAACAAACATCAGAGGAACATTCCCACACTGCAGAGCTGCAGAGTCGCCCCAGACACCTGCTAACGGCTCCGGTTTGTTCAGGTCCCACTGCTGGTCCTGCACTCTGTTCACACACGCACACACACACACGCACGCACACGCGCACACACGCACACACACACACACACGCACACACACACACACACACACGCACACACACACACACACACACACACACACACACACACACACGGCTTGTTGGCTGGCCTAGTTTGGGTCTGAGCAGTGGCAGAGCTCATTAAGAGCCGCTCTCTTTGTTCTTCATTCCACTGAGGATGTCTCTGCAGCGCCAAAGCTCCTGTATCACACACAGACACACACACACACACACACACACACACACACACACACACACACACACACACACACACACACACACACACACACACACACACACTATACACACACACACACACACACTATACACACACACTTGGTGGCCACACACAGGATATACATTTAAGCCAGACAAAGTCGTGCAAACTTACAAAAACACATTCTCTCAGATATGTGACATTCAGTGTCACCAGCAACTCAAGGACGCAGAGCACCGTGCGTTCATGTGTCTTACAACTGTGGTTGTTTTGTGCACACAGGACTGTGGTGCGTTCATGTGTCTCAGGACTGTGGTGCATTTGTGTGTCTCATGACTGTGGTGCATTTATGGGTCTCAGGGCTATGGTGCTTTCATGTGTCTTGGCACCTTTTGAAGTTTGGTCTTAGGACTGTGGTGCGTTTGCATTTCTCAGTGATTCAGTTAGTTTGTGTGTTTCGGTGATGCGGTGCGTTTGTGTCTTTTAGATGAGTTGTTATGAAACATTTAAATCAGCTTATCTCCAGTGTTGTGTCTCATTAAGTGTGTAACAGCGTGTGTGTGTGTGTGTGTGTGTGTGTGTGTGTGTGTGTGTGTGTGTGTGTGTGTGTGTTTTGGGTGTGTGCATGTGTGCAGACCTCCTGTTGTGAGCTCACTACATTATGAATTTTGTTTTCCTCCTCCTTGTTTTTTTAAAATCAAATATTGGAGTCCTGCCGGCTCGCAGGTGGATTAACAATTTAACAGAAGACAATACGATGAAAATGACTTCAATAAAAACAAAGAGTGTTTTTAATATTTCATATTTCTCAGGTTAAGTACCCACAAGGTGTTCATGGACTCAGTGTGTGGTCAGACTCAGTGTGTGGTCAGGGTATTGTTGTTTTGGCTATGGAGCTGATTGACCAATCAGCTGTTGATGGTTCTTAACATGTGACTAAATAAAGTTCTGATTTGACCTGTTGTAAAAAGTGGAGCTCAGACGTACCAAGCAGAAACCTCCTGCAGAAACCGATGCTGAAGTGTAAAATCCTCAAGTGTCCACTAGAGGCTGGCCGCAGAAGCACAGGAAGTCATATACACACCCATTCTAAAAAGCCTGTTTTTACAGTAGAGATTAACATGTTTATTTCCCGCTCAGACACGGAGCAAGGATGAGGTGGGTACAGTTCATGATCAGTAGGCGGTAAAACTACGGGGAATATCCTACTTTGTGAAAAGAGCGCCGGTCGCCGGTGACATCATCTGCGCCTTTCTGAGCAGTTGAAAGATTTTCAGGACAAAGCGCTCAGAGTGACCTCCACTCATTAAAAACAGTTTTGAAAAAGACGCTGGTGCTCAGAAAATAAACTCTAGGTGGACACTTAGGGAACTTGCATTTTTGGACCTATCATGTTGTCTTTATTTATTTAGCTTCTTGATGAAGGCATGATGAGAATGTTTGATGCTAACCTAATTGAGTTGAAGCATCGATTGAAACAGCGGCGGCGGCTAACTAAGATGTCTTTTATGAATGCTGCATTTTCCTCAAACCTGATCATTTAGAGTCAGTCAGATCTAAAAACGTTTCTCTCCTGGAGAGTTCTGGAAATACCAGCATGAGGCTGCAGCAACGCTTGTAAGGACGGTAAATAAAATATTTCAAACCCTTTTCCCAGAGCACTTTAGTGGGCAGAACTTCAAGGGCGCAGGTAAATGGGTTGAGGATGGATGCAGCCTTGAGTCGTGAGTCTTTGCACATCAAACAACTGATTCAAACAGCAATCTGTTCAGATGTGTGTGTGCTCGCTAAGTGCAGCAGTTTGAGCACAAAGACGCTGAGAAATTATCTTTATTTCTCTGAGGACGCTCGCTCTGCAGCATTGTTAATTACAGTTAAAATGAGTTTATATACGTCTGATGGAAATTGTGTTCTTGCACATTTAATTTCCGGCTCTATTTTCTCTTTCATGTGACAACGAACAAAAGGAGTTTCTCCCTCCTGCGCCTCTTCTCTGCCGTCTCTCATTCATGCATGAATATTTAACACGGCAGAAGAGGATTTGTTGGCTTTTCAGCTTAAAACTTATAATAGAATCCAGAGAAGAAGAACAGGTAAGAAGAAATAAGTCCAAAGTTTTCTTTGCATCCAAGGTTAGGCAGTTTGGATTTAAAGGAGGGATTAACATTTTGGGAAGGACACAGCTATGGTCAGATCATCTGAAGCGGAGTTAAGTAGAGGCACACTGGTTTCTTTAACATGGTTGTATGAAATGTAAACAAACAGAGAGGAACGACCGAAGCAGACAGAAGAACAAAAAACATGCAGAGCATTAAAGATGTGAAGCACACGGCACAAAGACGTCTGTTTGAAGAAGTGATGTTAAAAGACGATTATGATTGGCTGAGTCTGAGCTCCTTACAGCAGGAGCATCCCGGGCTGCAGCGGAGCCGGGTCCCCCGTACTCTCAAACCTGATTTAAATCTCAGACACAGAACAGCTCGGAGGCCGCCCAAGGATCTCAGGAAGGAACCGGAAACATCCGGAAACAAAGCGAGAGTGAGGCAAGAAGGGGAGTAATGTGTTCTCTTGTCCTGGTTTAATTTAAAAGTCGAGCAGCTGCATTTTTTTCTCTCCCTAGTTTGGAGGATTCGTGGTTAAGAGTTAAAGAGGAAGAAAAAGTCAAAATCTTTGGGGGGAAGTCGGATGAATTGTTGACTCTCCTGAAAATGTTAACATAGTTTTAGGTAATAAGAAGAAGCTAAGGACGCATGTTAAATTCATGGATTCTGTCAGTGTCATTGTGTAACTGGAAGTAGTTCATTCATATTATGTTGGAAACAACCCCAGGATTCAGCTTGTAAATATGAAATAAGGAAAGCAAAGATTTAGTGCTGCTCAGAGGTCCAGTGAACATCAGGACCATGTAGCTGTCTCTGTCTCCTGATGTTCCTAGGTGACTAATTTCCCCGTCGGTTGAACGGAAATCTGAACTAAATTATATGAAGCCTGACACAGTCTGCAAACGTTTTCTTGATCAAAATACGACCAAACTACTCTGCTCCACTATATATAGGTCTGCAGAACTGCCTGTGGTCTAGTGGTTCGTGTGCGTCCATGAGGCTGTAGTCCTCCAAGCGGGCGGTCTGGGTTTGAATCCGATCTGTGGCTCGTTTCCCGTATGTCATTCCCCCATCTCTCTCTCTCCCTGATTTCTGACTCCCCTGTCCTTTCTCTCCAATAAAGGCACAAAAAGCTAAAACAATCTTTAAGAGAACTTTATTTTGAATTGAAAAGAAATTGGTCTAAGGATAGAGCCCTGAGGAACTCCACATGTTATCAGGGCTTAAGAAGACACACTGTTCAGTTATAAACACAGAAAAACAAAAAGCACTAATTAATTTCTCATTATGCCTCATTAGCCTGAAACGTGTCCTCAAATGAAAATGTCACAGAAATTGAGCTATAAATACAAACCTGCACAATAAGCATCTGTTCAATTTAAAGTCTACGTCAGTAGATGTTGGAGTGTTGCGGCTAACATGAACGCCAAATATTCAGTACAAGATTCATGTTGACACAGTCATTTCTCAATAATGTTTGATAAATATTTCAAATATATT